GATGCTGGAGCAGACCCTTACCCTGAGGGGGTGGGCAGTTACAGGGAAGAGCTGCTCCAGTAAGTAGATTTGGAGGGGCTGCCCAGGAAGAGGAGGGAGCCGAAGCTGCTGGAGCCTGAATGCACTGTCACCCCATGGCTGAGGAGCCCCCAGGCCATGTCTGGCCACAGGCCCTGCAGAGAGGGCCCTTGGCTTCTCCAGGGGTCCCGCCACCCGTGACATGCTGGCCACTTCCTCGCACAGGCTAGATTCAGTTTCGTGACCCCCATTTCTTTATTATTTGTTTGTTTGGTTGCTATTTCTATTTTTTCCTTTGCATTTTTTTATTTTTTAATTCTCTTCTTTTTTCTTGTTTTGCTTTTGACCATCATTTCTTCTTTCTCTTCTTTCTTATTCTTGTTTTGCAGAGACAAGAGAATTGGAACTAAGAATTATAAGGTGGTCTGGACATGGCAGTTCAACTTACTGGAGCCCTGGAATTGGAGACCATCCTGGCCAACATGGTGAAACCCCATCTCTACTAAAAATATGAAAATCAGCCCAGCATGGTGGCAGGCACCTGTAATCCCAGTTACTTGGGAGGCTGAGGCAGGAGAATCCCTTGAACGCAGGAGATGGAAGTTGCAGTGAGCCAAGCTCGAGCCACTGCACTTCAGCCTGGGTGACAGCAAGACTCTGTCTCAAAAAAAAAAAAAAGGACCAGGTGTGGTGGCTCACGCCTGTATTCCTAGCACTTTGCGAGGCTGAGGCGGGTGAATCACCTGAAGTCAGGAGTTCGAGACCAGCTTGGCCAACATGGTGAAACCCCATCTGTACTAAAAATACAAAAAAATTAGCAGGGCTTGGTGGCTCACGCCTGTAATCCCAACTACTCAGGGGGCTAAGGAAGGAGAGTTGCTTGAACCCAGGAGGTGGAGGTTGTAGTGAGCTGAGATGGCACCACTGTACTCCAGCGTCTGCAACAGGAGTGAGTCTCCATCCCCCCCCCCCAAAAAAAAAGGCCAGACACAGTGGCTTATGCCTGTAATCCCAGCACTTTGGGAGGCCGAGGCAGGCGGATCACAAGGTCAAGAGTTAAGACCAGCCTGACCAACATGGTGAAACCCTGCCTCTACTAAAAATACAAAAAAATTAGCCGGGCGTGGTGGTGTCCACCTGTAATCCCAGCTACTCAGGAGGCTGAGGCAGGATAATCTCTTGAACCCAGGAGGCAGATGTTACAGTGAGCTGAGATTGCACCACTGCACTCCAGCCAAGGCCACAGAGTGAAACTCCGGTCTCAAAAAACAAACAAACAAACGAAAACTTAAATGTGGGCATTTTCATGGAAACAGATTTCTCAAAAAACTGACATCTCAACAGAACACTAGAAGCACCTGTTTCCATCCTAAGTGCCAAGTCACCAAATTATTTACATACAGAAAGTTCTGGAAAGCTTCTAATGTCAAGCTACGCCATGAGAAACAAGGGCAGGCCCACAAACCTGGCTCGGTGAACTCTGGCCCCTCTAGCCAGGAGGAGCACACAGATCTTCTAAGCTTAGGGTATTCAAAGCCAAAATTCAGGTTGGGTACAGTGGCTCACACCTTAATCCCAGCACTTTGGGAGGCTGAGGCAGTGGATTGCTTGAGGCCAGGGGTTCAAGACCAGCCTGGCCAACATGGTGAAATCCCATGTCTACTAAAAATATAAAAATTAGAGAGGTGTGGTGGCACAGGTCTGTAATTCCAGCTACTCAGGAGGCTGAAGCAGGATAATCGCATGAGCCTGGGACACAAAGGTTGCAGTGAGCCGAGATGGTGCCACTGCACTTCCATGCCCACTCCAGCTTGGGTATCTTGTAAAAAAAAAAAAAAAAGAAAGAAAGAAAAGAAAGAAAGAAAAGAATAAGGCCTACTTTGAAAGATACCAAGTGAAATTTAGAAGACATCAAGTGGGTAAAACCGCATTACTATGCTCAGAGATGCTTGGTGATAAAGGATAAAAATAAATACCACACATCCAAATACAGGATGATAGTGTGTGCAACAAACAGATATCATTTGTCAGATTGCTTATGCCCTTCTATACGGTGGTGGCTCATGCCTGTAATCCCAACACTTTGGGAGGCCAAAGTGGGCGATCACGAGGTCAGGAGTTTGCGACCAGCCTGACCAACATGGTGAAACTCCCGTTTCTGCTAAAAATATAAAAATTAGCCAGGCATGGTGGCGTGTGTCTGTAATCCCAGCTACTCAGGAGGCTGAGGCAGGAGAGAATCACTTGAACCCGGGAGGCAGAGGTTGCAGTGAGCCGAGATTGCTGCACTGCATTCCAGCCTGGGCGACAGAGCAAGACTCCATCTCAAAAAATAAAATAAAATAAAAAATAAAGCAATAGGGCACGGTGGCATGCGCCTGTATTCCTAGTTACTCAGGAGGCTGAGAGGGATCACTTGAGCCCAGAGGTTCAAGGATACAATGGACTACGATTGTGCCACTGCACTCCAGCCTATACGTACCACCAGGCCAGCTAATTTTTTTTTTTTTTTTTTTGAGACGGAGTCCGCTCTGTCTCCCAGGCTGGAGTGGCAGCGACGCGATCTTGGCTCACTGCAAGCCCTGCCTCCCGGATTAACACCATTCCCTGCCTCAGCCTTCCGAGTAGCTGGGACTACAGCGCCCGCCCACCACGCCGGCTAATTTTTTTGTATTTTTAGTAGAGACGGGGTTTCACCGTGTTAGCCAGGATGGTCCTGCATCTCCTGACCTCGTGATCCACTAGCCTCGCCTCCCAAAGTGCTGGGATTACGGCCCGCCACACCGCCGGCTAATTTTTTTTGTATTTTTAATAGAGACGGGTTCACCATGAACCGGCCAGGCTGGTCTCAACTGCTGACCTCAAGTGGTCCACCCGCCTCCCCCTCCCAAGTGCTGAGATTTACAGGCGTGGCCACCACACCTGGTGATGCACCCTTGGGTGCTTGCTTCATCTTTTAGCTCTTTTAAACAATGCTGCTATGAACATGGGGTACAAATCTCTTTGAGAACTCTACTTTTTTTTGTTGTTGTTGTTGTTTTGAGACAGAGTCTCACTCTGTGGCCCAGCTGGAGTGCAGTGGGGTGATCTGCCTCACTGCTACCTCTGCCCCCCCGGGCTCAAAGCGATTTCCTGCCTCAGCCTCCTGATAGCTGGGATTAGAGCACACACGCCATCCAGGCTAATTT